AAAAAAATGGATCAATGAGGACATATATTGTAATTTTGAAAGATATTGACAAATTGCCCTCCATAGCATTTGTATCAATTTCCACACCCCTCAGCAATACATGAAAGTTTGTGTTTCTGCACACCGTTGCCAACATATAGTGAGATATTGAACTACCCAGCATAGTTACGATTTTCACTTCCCTTATTGTGAGTTAGGTTGAGCATCTTTCATATGTGAAGAGCCACTTCTCATAGCATCTTAACAACTTAATGTATGCAGGGAAAAAAAAGTGAAAAGAGATATTGCTTTTGATTTTTAAGGTTAAATATATTCGCTAAACTATGTAAGAACTACTGGTAAAACAACTTGTAATTGGATTCAGAGAGGCAGGAAGTAAGAAAAGGAGAAAGAAATATATGTTTATTTCCAGAAGTTTAAAGTGTGGAAGATGCAGTCCTGTTTTAAACAGAGAGAAAACAGGGCTTCCCTGGTGGCGCAGTGGTTGAGAGTCCTCCTGCCAACACAGGGGATGCAGGTTTGGGCCCTGGTTCGGGAGGATCCCACATGCAGCAGAGCAACTAGGCCCGAGCTTCACAGCTGCTGGGCCTGCACTCTAGAGCCCGTGAGCCACAACTACTGAGCCCGCGTGCCTAGAGCCCGTGCCCTGCAACAAGAGAAGCCACCGCAATGAGAAGCCCACACACCGCAACAAAGAGTAGCCCGCGCTCGCCCGCCACAACTAGAGAAAGCCCGCGTGCAGCAACAAAGACCCAACGCAGCCAATAAATTAATTAATTTAAAAAAAAAACAGAAACCCAAAAATCACTGGGGTTCTTTGGCATAGACTTCCACTCTTTTGCTCCACCTAATATAGTAACCACCAATTTTTAAATTTTAATTGAAATCGAAATAGCCACATATAAGCAACATTTCCATCACTGCAGAAAGACTTATTGCACTGCTCTAAGTCCTACATAAGAATAATGAACAAGTTCACCTGACCTGTTTGCAGTCCTTGACGTCTACATGCATCGATAGCTCTCAGGGTCATATATACCAGACCAAGTTCTGCTCACTTCAAGGTCATAACAGATTTTGCCCTTTATTTTCCCCAAAGCTCCCTAAACTTAAAAAACAAACAAACAAAAAAACGATGAAAGAAAGAAAAGCCCTGTTCTTAAGTGATGTAACATATGCCTCAGAGAGTTTCACTATATAAAGAGTGATCTCTCTCTCCTCTTGGGAACTGAAGGACCCCAGGTGCCCCCAAATAAAAGACTATTAAAAACAATTACAGTTCATAAAACAACAAGAACACCATGACCAATGGAGAGCTTAGTTCAGAAGAACATCAACATTTTTCTTACTTTATTACCAAAACCGCAGCTGACAAACACGAAGACCCTCCAAAGGTATTCTTTGCCTAGAATACCTTTAAAAAACAAGTCATGGTTATTCTGGATAATTATAAATTCCTGCTTTGAAGAACAAGACACATTGAAAAAAATCAAAACCCTTAATTCAATAACAACTCCAATCTCATTTCTTATTGCTGAGAGAATGACACAAACCTCTTTTGTTGTTATTGTTGTTTTTGGCTGCGTGGCATGTGCGATCTTATTTCCCCAACCAGGGATCGAACCTGCTCCACTGGCAGTAGAAGCACGGAGTCTTCAACCACCGGACCACCAGGGAAGTCCCCCGAAGCCTCTTTTGATTTCATTCTTAGGCCTCTATTGCTTACTCATTGGATCATTTTCCAGAGGAAGGTGGCAGAAAGATCCAATCAAACAAACTGCTAGTTCCAAGCAGTGTTTTGAGTTTACTCCCAAGCCTATACAGCTCTGAGTTAAGCCAAATGCATGCTTTGCACACCACTTTGGAAACCCAGCTGAACTCTTAACTCATGGTTTCTCAACAGCTGCACTACTGACATCTGGGCCAGATAACTCTTCATTGTGGGGGCAGTTCTGTGCATTGGAGGCTGTTTAGCAGGTTCGCTGGCCTCTACCCACAAGATGTCAGTAACAGCGCTTCCCCTCCTCCCCAACCCAAGTTGTGACAATCAAAATGTCCCCTGGGAGAGGCAAAATCGCTGCTGGTTGAGAACAACTGCTTTCACCTAAAGAGCATTCTTGATATCTCAACCCTAATTCCTCATATTCATTTGATGCTCCTTCAAACCTGTTGAGACTTTGTCTCACAATCCAGCAAATATTTACAGAACCTCTAGGACACATCAAGGACTCTAGGAGAGAAACAGACAAGATAGATTCTGTCCTTACCCTTAAGCTGGTTTCTTGGGGGTACATACATAAAGAATTGTAATAGGGACTTCCCTGGTGGTCCAGTGGTTAGGACTCTGTGCTTCCACTGCAGGGGGCGAGGGTTCAATCCCTGGTCAGGAAACTAAGATCCCACATGCCGCACAGTGTGGCAAGAATTGCAATAAAAGACACCTAATTATATAAAGTTTTGAATGGTCGATTTTTCTTCCTGGGTACTCTCATCTTACCAAACTAAAAACCCCTAGACAGCAAAGACCGTAACCTGCCCTAGAATGCCAATACTTGATTAATGGCCAATAAAAATAAAAATAAACTATTCTGAACTTCATCATAACAAGGTGACAATTTCAGACAGACAGTAAAAACTCCACACCTAACTTGAGCAAATAAGTTAACTTCTCTCAGCTGTAGTTTGTTCTTCCGTAAAATGGGGAGGAAATGACTGTTGACAGGATTAAGTCAGATAATACAAGGAAATCTTTTTCCACATTCTGGCACAGAGTAAGCATTCAATTAATGTAAGCTATCATTACTATTATTTTATTAGCTATTTTATTAGCAACAAATCTTACCTCAAGGGGAAGAGCTTGCTCTGAGCTACAATAACAAACCCCTACATGACATAAAAGAAATCAACACTCACCCTGTTTTCTGAGGGCAAGAAGAAGAAAGTAATCATAAGTATTTCCATCAACATCCTGGGAGGAAAATGTGAATGCAGGAACCAATTACAAGGTTTGGGGGTGGGGGGAGAGACACACTCAGAGACAAACCCACTATCCTCCAATACATTCCTGGACTATTCTTAAGACCTTTCTGTTTAAAATGCTTGGGTATATTTGCCACAAGGATCTAAAGAGGAAGTAAAAAAAAAACACCTTAATTTATAAATATTAACACATGCAAGGGACAGATGTTTATGAGACTTCCTAAGTGTTCATTTGCTTAATCGTTCAGAAAGTATGCTTAAAATTTCTATTGCTATAATGTTAAATACATGCCAGCAATTCTGAATTTACTACAAAGCATAAGAGTTCATAAGAAGGAAAAAAGACAATTGTTAGATATTTTAAAGTAAGAGAATATAAAGTCACATGAAAAAGCTGGGTGATTCAAAGCTTGTGGGTGTGTGTGTTTGACCCAAGCAGCATTAGGAAATGGGAGATATTTAGGATAGAAGTAAAAGACGGGGAAAGTCACCATACCCGGAGATACACATCCAGGAACACCTCCTCTGACAGCACGTGGAGTTTCGGTGAGCAAAAACAGACCTTATTCTCATAACGGATAACACCGGTTTACTGTGTACCGTGGCTTAGGCACCAAGTGCCTCATACATAGTGGTCCATGCAATCCTATAGTGCCCACATTTTACAGATGAGGAAACAAACACAGATGAGTGATTTGCCCAAGTAAATTCAAGATTCACACTCCAACCCAGGCATCATGGTACCACCTCTACCGCTACACTTCATGGTGTCTATTTTAATTTCAGAACTGGAAATTTAATTTTTACTTGCTACCTAGTGAGCCCAGTACTCTCCCCCTACCTACCCTTCCGTATTTCAAATGAGCATCTTTTTAGTTGCATCCCGTGTGGTGATGATAAGGAGGCTCGGAAGGTAAGTGTAATCGCTGGACACTTTCGCCTTCGGACACTGACAATGAGGTAATCCACACGGAGGAACTAGCGTGGGTGGAAGTAAGACAGTCTCCGGAACAAGAGGAGGGTCCCGGAGAATGAGGGAGGGTCGCCAAAGTTCCTATTTCAGCCCCGATTTCCTGCCTTGGCTCTGGCCGCTATGTTCATTCAAAAGACCCCAGAGCCCACCTATTTCCAACTGCGCTTTTCATCTCGCCCACTCTAAAAGGCGGAGAGGATGGATGCGAGGTGAGGCGCGGGGCCCTATATGCAGGCAGGCTACAGCAAACGGGATTCTGGACAGAGGAAGGCGAGGCTGCCTATTCGGATGGGGGCAGAGAGGCGCGTGGAAAGGCTGGGACCTGGGACAGAGGTGAGGATCGGGGTGGGGAGCCAGAAGCAGGGGCAGCAAGGCCGGTGGGGTCGGGGTCGGCAGCCAAGGAGTGATGGGCAGGCGTGCTGAAGGTGAAGAGGCGCCAGGGTCAGAGATGCCCTGTCACTACCATCCGGGCTGTTCTGATAAAGGAAGCGGGGCAGGAACCAAGGCATTTCGAAACAGGAGTAGAAAATAATCTCGAGCGAAGACCAGGCCCGAAGGATGGCGGGGGCGGGAGTCGCGGCCCGGGGGAGCCGGGCCCGGGCAGGAGCGAAGGCAGGGTCTCCGCGCGCGAAGGGGCTGCCCAGGCCGGTCCGCTCCTCCGGGCAGCGCGGGGCAGAGCGCGGCCGAGCCTCGCACCGAGGTGCGGGGTCCCGAGGCCGGCGGCACCCACCCGCCGGCGCCCGGCCTTGCGTACCTGAGGCGGCCGCCTGGCTCCCCTCCACTCCCGGGCCGTCCCCGACGCCGTGCGCCGGCCCTCGGCGGGCTGCGGGGCTCCAGACGCCCGGCCCCTCAGCCGCCCGCCGGTCCGACATCTGCAGCCCGCGTCCGCAGCGCCTCCGCAGCCTGCCGCAAGTGGCTCCGGAAAGAGCCGAAGGCCCAGCGCGCCGGGAAGAGCCGAGCGGAGCCCGCGGGCCGGAAGGGGCAGCGCGTCGGCCCCCGAGCGGTCGCGAGAGCTCTGGCTAGCGGAGGCCTGCGACGCAGGCTCGGGGAGGGGTACTGCGTGCTTATGATCGCAGGTTTTTAAAGTCAGTGCTTGAAAGAAGAAACGAAACCTGGGCAAGATTCAGTGAGACCCGGCCGGAAGTCGTGGTATCCATAGACACGCTATCGGAAATTGGGGTTGCTAGGAGGCCTGGGCGCGTCGGCTAGTCTGCGTCACGGTTGAAGTCCCAGAAGGTTACGATTCCGGCCCCGGTGAAGATGAAGACCTGCAGCCTGAGAGACCAAAACTTCAGTCTCTTAAGGTGACTGAAGATGTCGAACCAGGCAGCATGGAAGAGACAGGGCCAGAGCTGCCTGTAGGGACTGACCAAGAGCCCCAACCAGAGACGCAAGAAGAGGGCTTCAAAGAGGAGACACCGGCGAGTGCTAAGAATATACACCTACGTCTGAAACCCACCTGGACGTCCGAGGAAGAGGCTCCCCAAAAGTCCAAGACAGACATTTCTAGCGAGATTGAGCTAGGGATTCCCAAAGAGGTAAAGTCGGAGACATCCAGACAGATAGAAGTAGAGCTTTTCAAGGATTTGGAGGTCCTTGTGGACGAAAAGCATGGGGAGCCAGAGGAGGAAGCCAAACCAGATGTCACAGAGGATATGCTCATAGAGGCAGCTAAGGAAACAGATCTAGAGCTACGAAAGGAAGCCGAGTCTGAGGTTCCAGGGGCCACAATCAGTGAGACAAGATTAGAGTTAGTAGAGGGGACCAAACTAGAGGTTTGGGAGGAGTCACTTAGAGAGCAACATGGAAAGACGGGTCTGGAACCTACAGAGCAGACCAAACCGGAATTTCCAAGTGAGAAACTAAGAAGATCAATTGAAGAGGCAGATCTTCAGCCACCAAAGATGACCACACCAGAGATTCCAGAGGAGACACAAAGTAAGTCACCTGAGGAGAAAAGGACAGAGCCACATGAGCAGGCCATACCAGAGTTTCCAGAAGAGAAACCAAGTATGTCTACTGAGGAGACACAAAGAAAGTCAACTGCAGAGAAAGTTCTAGAGCCACCAGAGGACACCAAATCTCCAGATCAAAAAGATAAGCAGAAAAAATCAACTGAGGAGACAGGTCTAGCACCATCACAGAAGTCCAGATCAGAGGAGACACTAAGAGAGTCAACTGAGGAGCAAGTTCCAGAGCCACCAGAACAGACTAAACCAGAGTTTCCAAAGAAAGAACCGAGAAAGTCAACTGAAGAAACAGGTCAGGTGCCACCACAGAAGATCATACCAGAGGTGCAAGAGAAGACACAAACAGAGCCAACTAAGAAGATAGATTCAGAGTTACCATATAAAGCCAAACCACTACTTAGAATAGAGACATGTGTAGAATTTGCCAAGGAAGATAGGCCAGAACCAATCAGACTTAAGTGTTCTGTAGACAGAGATGAGCCAGAGTACTCTGACTATCAAACAAGAAAGTTGTTAGTAAAAGAAACTAAAGACGTTTCAAAAGACTCTGTGTTAGAGTCTCTTCCAATAAGTGAAGTAGACTCAGTGAATATAGATTATGAGTTTTCTAAAGAACTCCAAAATCTGTTTCAGTTTTCTGATACCAATTATGAATTCTACTCATATTACTCTGAGTCTCAGAGGGATTTAAAAGAGTCCTCTAATGAAAAGAAAGATCTGTCCCCAGAGTCAGTGACACTGGTACCTAAAGATAAAGAAACGCAGCCAAAAAAAAGTACTGACCTACAATTTGAGTATCTTGAATGGAGCCCAGAGAAAGTTGCAGAGTGGATTTGCCAGCTAGGCTTCCCTCAATACAAGGTATACAAAAATAACATTTTTTGAAATCGTATACTCTCATTCCTCTACCTCTTATTCCTCTATCCTTACCTGAGCTTTTGCATCTTCACTAGAAGGAGTGTAGAAGAGGCATGGACTATGGTAGTAACTTGGATTTTAATTTTGGCCTTTCCACTGATACATATTTGTATATTGGGAGAGGAAGGAAAGGTCACGTTTGTTTTTCCTATTCATCACAGTGATTATACTTCTCTGCAATCCTTGAATAAAGACTAAGAAATTTATGTAGGTTTCTTTTCATAGAAATCTGTATTTCCAAAAAGATTTCATCCAACGTAGACTTTTTGGTATTTTGTTAGGTTGTTTTAGTAGCAACTCCCTTAACTTGAACTTGTACTATTAATCTTAGTGTCTGCCCCAAATGTGTTATACGTATCATGATCACCTAACAGTACTAATTTATATAGCCAATTAACCAAGGATAGTTTTCTTTTTTAAATAGGGTGAATCCTATTATTTCACTGCCAACTATGTTCCACAAACAAAACAAGATCTGAAATCTTTGGTACCACTGTAGTTAAAAATGTAGTTGAGGCAAGAAAGAAGCACTGGTTGTATCGTGCCAAAAAAAAAAAATTAAGCAGCAGTGTGAAATTTAATCAAGAGTTTAGATGGAAAATATGTGGGATTATTAAATTACAATTTTTTCTCAGTACAGAGCTAGAGACAAATATGATTTATTTATTCCTCCTCCCCTCCCTCCCTCTTTCCTTCCTTCCCACCTCCTTTTCTCTTTCTTGCTTTTTTTCTTCCTGTATTTGCCATACATCTTTTGAGTAATGTTCTCATTGTACTGACAGGAGTGTTTTACCACAAACTTCATCAGTGGCCGAAAACTCATCCACGTAAACTGCTCAAACCTCCCTCAGATGGGTATAACAGATTTCGAGGACATGAAGGTGAGTTGTGTATAATTTCCCACTAGAGCACTGAAACAGTGCTACCACCTCAAACCATCCTCCTTTTATTCCAACGTGGCCTCCAATTTCTCCCAAAGGTGTTATCATACCCCTAGTTTCCCAGGCTCAGAGTGGTTGCTTCCTCTCTTTCCTTTGATCCCCACAAAGATCCCAAGAACTATCAGTTCCTCCTATAGCATCTGGTTTTCTGCATTCCCACTTGTTCAGACCTTTATCAGACCTTTACTAGAATGTACCAGTAGCCTGCTTTTAGCCTCTGTCTATAGGCCCTTTGGATTCAAGGACCCTGCTTTTAGACTTTCACCTTCCAACTATTTATACAGCATACTACTCAAAGCTTCTTTGGATCCCCTCTACTTACAAGGTAGTCTCAACTCCTCAGCTTAGGATTCAGGCCCCTCCACAAGTTTTCTCCCACCACTGTTCTCTCACCTGGTACTCTTCTATGTGAATCTTCTGCTTCAGTCTCACAGGTCCAGCTCACACCTCACAAACCTGTCTTGTGCATTCTTCCCTCTACATCTTTGCTCAGTTCCCCGCCTCCCCCGCAAGACTAATATGAATCTTAACCATCCCTCAGGACCCAACTCAATTCTCATCTCCCCATGAAGTCTTTCCTGATCTTCCCAGCCCACAGTAACCTCTCCTCCAAAGCTGTCATACATTTTATGTCTCTAACACCTACAGAACTGACTCACCTTTCCCTTTGTTCTTCCTACAAAATACTAAGATGACAGAGAATGTATAGGTGAGACTGGTGAGGGGTGCAGGAAGAAAGAAACACTAATTTTTTTCTTTTCTTTTTTCATGGAAAGACATTTTAAATATAGCAGTGTGTACATGTCAATCCCAAACTCCCAATCTACCCCTCCCCTCCCCGCTGGTAACCATAAGTTCGTTCTCTAAGTCTGTGAGTCTGTTTCTGTTTTGTAAATAAGTTCATTGTATCGTTTTTTTTAGATTCCACATATAAGCGATATCATATGATATTTGTCTTTGTCTGACTTACTTCACTTAGTATGATAATCTCCAGTTCCATCCATGTTGCTGCAAATGGCATTATTTCATTCTTTTTAATGGCTGAGTAATATTCTATTATATGTACCACATCTTTATCTGTTCATCTGTTGATGGAAATTTAGGTTGTCTCCATGTCTTGGCTATTGTAAACAGTGCTGCAATGAACACTGGGGTGCATGTATCCTTTTGAACCATGTTTTTCTCTGGATATATGCCCAAGAGTGGGATTGCTGAATCATATAGTAGCTCTACTTTTAGTTTTTTAAGGAACCACCACACTGTTGTCCATAGTGGCTGTATCAATTTACATTCCCACCAACAGTGTAGGAGGGTTCCCTTTTCTCCACACCCTCGCCAGCATTTATTGTTTGCAGATTTTTTGAAGATGGCCATTCTGGCGGGTGTGGGGTGATACCTCATTGCAGTTTTGATTTGCATTTCTCTAATGATTAGTGATGTTGAGCATCCTTTCATGTGTTTGTTGGCAATCTGTATATCTTCTTTGGAGAAATGTCTCTTTAGGTCTTCTGCCCATTTTTTGATTGGGTTGTTTGTTTTTTTGATATTGAGCTACATGAGCTGTTTGTAAATTTTGGAGACTAATCCTTTGTCAGTCGCATCATTTGCAACTATTTTCTCTCATTCTGTGGGTTGTCTTTTCGTTTTGTTTATGGTTTCTTTTGAGTTAAATTAGGTCCCATTTGTTTTCTATTACTCTGGGATATGGATCGAAAAAGATATTGTTGCGATTTATGTCAAAGCGTGTTCTGCCTATGTTTTCCTCTGTTTTATAATAACCAGTCTTACATTTAGGTCTTTAACCCATTTTGACTTTATTTTTGTGTATGGTGTTAAAGAATGTTCTGATTTCATTTTTTTACGTGTAGCTGTCCAGTTTTCCAGCACCATTTGTTGAAGAGACTGTCTTTTCTCCATTTTATATTCTCGCCTCCTCTGTCATAGCTTAGTTGAACATAGGTCCATGGGTTTATTCCTGGGCTTTCTATCCTGTTCCATTGATCTGTATTTCTGTTTTTGTGCCAGTACCATACTGTTTTGATGACTGTAGTTTTGTAGTATAGTCTGAAGTCAGGGAGCCTGATTCCTCCAGCTCTGTTTTTCTTTCTCAAGATTGCTTTGCCTATTCGGAGTCTTTTGTGTCTCCATACAAAGCTTAAGATTTTTTGTTCTAGTTCTGTGAAAGAGAAACACTGATTCTTCTCACCTGGCCAAGGGAGCACTGGAAACCACTATCCTGTCTTTCCCATTTATAGTGATGCACTAGCTTGGTAAAAAGGGGAGAGAAAGTCAATCTTATTTATTCTAGGGACAAGCTAGACAAGATAGCACTTGCTTCAGCTTTCTGTCTTAGAAAATAATTCACAAAATATTTTAAACTATTCACTCCATCAAGTGAACAAAAGAACTCTGTGATAAATATTTGGAGAAGAATATAGATGAATTGCTTATTCCTTTCATATGCATGAATTTATGTTACAAAGTAGAGCCTTATAAGCTTAATAATATCTCAGGAATTTTATTACACCTGCCTTATTGCAAGCTATTTAAATAGCACAAATTCATAACAACATGTCAGCAATTGTCACTAAACAAAAATATATATTTTTTAAAATTTTCAAATGATTTTAGTTTTACAGAACAGTTGCAAAGATAGTACAGAGAGTTCCCATATACTCTTTTAAAAATATATATTTATTTATTTTTTGGCTGCGTCATTCTCAGTTGCAGCACATGGGATCTTTCATTGTGGCACGCAGGCTCTGTAGTTGCAGCACTTGGGCTCTCTAGTTGTGACGCATGGGCTTAGTTGCCCCACGGCATGTGGGATCTTAGTTCACTGACCAGGGATTGAACTGGCGTCCCCTGCATTGCAAGACCAATTCTTAACCACTGGACCACCAGGGAAGTCCCCCATATACTCTTAACCCAGCTTACCCTAATGTTAACATCTTATGTAACCATTTATCAAACCATTTATATATTTATCAAAACTAAGAAATTAACACCAGCACAGTACTATTAAACAAACTACAGACTTTATTCAGATTTCTGCAATTTTTCCACTGATGTCCTTTTTTTGTTCCAGGATCCAGTTGGGGATACTATCTTGTATTTAGCTGTTATGTTTCCTTGGTCTCCTCCAATATATGGCAATTTCTTGATCTTTATCTTTCATGACCTTACTTTGAAGAGTAGTGATCAGGTATTGTGTAGATTTCCCTCAGTTTGAGTTTGTCTTATGTTTCCCATGAGATTATGCTTTGTGGGGAGAGTATCACAGAGATGATGAGCCCTTCTCATCTAATCATATCAGGGAGTACATGGCATCAATGTGATTTATTACTGGAGATGTTAACTTTGATCATTTGGTCAAGGTGGTACCTGCAGGTTTCTTCACTACAAAGTTACTGTGTTTCCCTTTTCATATTCTATTCATTAGAAGTGGGTTGCTGAGTCCAGCCCATACTCAAAGAGAGGGGAATTAAGCTCCACCTCCTGGAGGGAAGAGTATCAAAGAGTTTATGGACATACAGTAAATACCACAGTAATAGATATACTGGGGGAGGTGGTTTGAGGCTATGCAAATTACCTGTTTCTTAAAGTTTTACCCACTAATTTTAGTATTCATAAGTGTACCTTGCCTGCATCAGTTATTACTATGTTGTTCTAATGATGATTTGGTTTCCTCATTCCTTCCATGTTTAATTGGAACTCTGCTTAAGGAACTCTTCTGTTTAATTGTCCCTTCTTCCCTATTTGGGAACTCTTTCAGTTTGTCTCCTGTGTCCTTTTGACATGTTCCCGTTATTTCATTTTATTGTTTTTTAGCATTTTCTGGCACTACACTTTACTTCAGACTCATTTTCTATTTTCCTTGCTACAGCCCTAGAAGCAGGCATGTTTCCAAGGAGCCCTGGTTGCTTTTATTAGAGAATGGTATTTAGAAATTAAGATGTGGTCACTAGTTGTGCTTGTTGCTACTGAGGTGTTACTGCTTCTAGGCACTCTCAGCAGAAGGATGTAGGAAATATATGTATATATACTAACCCATGTATACACAAATATTTATCTTATTTCTGTAAGCATGTGTTCGTACTGATATCCCTGACTCTAGTCCATCACCACAGGGTTCATACTAGCTTTCATCCTTCCTACTCCCTACCCCACTTTGCTTCTTTATAACTTCTTTCTCTGACAGTGAGAAACCTGGCTCTGCTTATTTATAAATATGTATCCCTATAAGAAACAAATTTACCAAAAGAGTACAGTATTTGTGTACGGTTCTTTTTGTCATTAGCCTTACACTAACTAGACAAAGCACTGTTTTTCAAAGTTAAAGTTATTTAGGTCAGCTTCTTTCTTCCCAGCCCCCTTCAGTGAGATTACGTCTTAATTTGTAATAAAGTTAAGATTCATCTGCCCAGAGTTTATATTCCATCATGGGTTCCCACAACATCCTGGCTTTTAAAAATTTTACCTGCAGTAAAGTCACTCTTTTTAGTATACAGTTCTGTGGGTTTTGACAAATGCACAGGGTCAGGTATCCACCACCACAAAACTGTATAGAACGATTCTATCACCCTAAAACTTCCCGTGTCCCCACAGTAGTCAGCCTATCCCTCCACCTAATCCCTGGCAACCATTAATCTGTTTTTCGTCCCTATAGTTTTTCCAGAATGTCACACAAATGAAATCAAATAATATGTAGGCCTTGAGTCTTGCTTCTTTCCCTTAGCAAAATGCATTTAAGATTAATCCACACTGTTATATGAATCAACAAGCAGATCTTAAGGACATTATACATCTGCTTTAAGAATGGTATTTTACCTATCTAAAATGTACTCCTAATGGGCAGTTTTGCATCAGTTTAAGAATTGTCTGTGGTGTGAATTTTCCAGCCTTGTAACTATGGCCAGTAGTTTTAAACAAACAAAAATCCATTCCACATACTCCTTTGACTGTGTTCTAGCAGCAATTTCACGGACTACATTCTCACCCAGAGGCAGAATATGAATTCAAATAGCAGTGTTATAACAGACCTGCAATTAAAACTAGACTTTGAAAATGCAGTGACAGTTTAGGATATCAAGTGGCATGGTACTCAATGAATACAAAGTATGTTTTAGAGACACTGAAATTGTGGCAAAAGATATTTTAAAAGAATATACAAGTATAGGCACTAATAAAATAACTGGAACTTTAATGTCTGCTTTTTAGTGTTTGAGATTTCTTTCCAGGCAAATAAATTGAATAACTGAGTAATAATTTTTTTCTTAGTTAACTGAGCCCCTTATAAAGTTATTTATTAACCTTCCTAGAGAAAATCATGGCTCCTAATCTGAACATATTATCTGCTCATATCATTGGTCAAATTGCTCAGTCAAGAAAAAGAAATGAACCCATTCATGGCTATCTGATGCAAGGGTCTAGAAACATCTTTAAGTGGTACTTTTAAAAAGATAAATCATGTGATGTTTCTCTTAAGAACTGTGTTTTGATAATGCCAGGGTAGGAAGCCTTTCAATGTGTTATCTCGTTATTATTTCCCCATAGAATTAGCTTAAGGGGTTAGCATTCAAGAGGTCTAGGAAACTAAGTAAAACTTACTTGATTTAGTTGTATTTTCAGGTTAATCCCATTAAAAAATTATCCTTGCATTACAGGTAATTTCTCAGCATACCCGGGAGCTACTGGGAATTGAAGAGCCATTATTCACACGCTCCATCAGCCTTCCCTACAGGGACAATATTGGCTTATTTTTAGAGCAAAAATGTCATAGTGGAGTTAAATCTGATTCCTTGACCTTGTCTGAATTTGTGCAAGCAGTGGGATTACAGGATTATGCTCCAGAAATAACCACCCCTGAAGAGGATGCAGCATTATATTCCATTGAACCATAGGGCAAGCCGTTCACTTAGCTTGAAAATCAAATTAAATTATGTGGGGGAAGAAGTGTAGTATTTCTGCATTTTCTTTTTCTCTTCATTCAGGATCAGAGTAAGAACTGCTGGCTCCATTCCTAGTTCTGCCACTGACTCACAGCACCTTCCCTTTATTTGTGTGTCAATTTAGTCCCTTGTTAAAACAAAGATAGCAATATTTCTCTTTCTGGGTAATTGTAAGAATTCCTGATAAATTCTAGTACTTCATCTGGTAGTAGGAGCACGATGGAGAAACAGACTAAAAGTAAAATCACCTGCCAACCCAGATAATCCTCTTCATAAGTGCAGACAAGGAAACAGTTGTATTATTGAATCAGCATAAAATCAGACTGTGATGCACATTACAGGCAGGCCACTAAAGAGATTGCCAAGACAAGGAAATCTTACCCTTCTATATAGCCAGGCAGATATAATCCATTATTTACATGTTGACTGTCTGTATCCAAAGGAAAAATAAAAGTTCTCATATCTTAGTGACAAACAGAAAGTTACTCCCTGGAGCCAAGCACTTAGGCTAAACCCCCAGCATCAGGGAGACAAAGCGCCATCCTTCTAAACGCCCGCATTTCAAAGAGGCGGCTCCAAGGGCCCCTCCCCCAAAAGACGGTCCTGGGATGGAAAACTGGCAGAAAGTTTATTCACCTTTTTAGAAGAGGAGCATACATCTCAAAAACAGAGAAAAAGGATTTATATTACAAGTTTTTAAAAGGAAATGTGTTATGCTGTTGGTGGGAATGTAAATTGATACAGCCACTATGGAGAACAGGATGGAGGTTCCTTAAAAAACTACAAATAGAACTACCATACGACCCAGCAATTCCACTACTGGGCATATACCCTGAGAAAACCATAATTCAAAAAGAGTCATGTACCAAAATGTTCATTGCAGCTCTATTTACAATAGCCAGGACATGGAAGCAACCTAAGTGTCCATCAACAGATGAATGGATAAAGAAGATGTGGCACATATATACAATGGAATATTACTCAGCCATAAAAAGAAACGAAATTGAGTTATTTGTAGTGAGGTGGATGGACCTAGAGTCTGTCATACAGAGTGAAGTAAGTCAGGAAGAGAAAAACAAATACTGTATGCTAACACATATACATGGAATCTAAGGAAAAAAAAAAAAAGGTCATGAAGAACCTGGGGTAAGATGGGAATAAAGACACAGACCTACTAGAGCATGGACTTGAGGATACGGGGAAGGGGAAGTGTAAGCTGTGACAAAGTGAGAGAGTGGCATGGACATATATACACTACCAAACGTAAAATAGATAGCTAGTGGGAAGCAGCCACATAGCACAGGGAGATCAGCTCGGTGCTTTGTGACCACCTAGAGGGGTGGGATAGGGAGATGCAAGAGGGAAGAGATATGGGAACATATGTATATGTATAACTGATTCACTTTGTTATAAAGCAGAAACTAACACACCATTGTAAAGCAATTATACTCCAATAAAGATGTTAAAAAAAAAAGGAAATGTGTTATGAAAAAGGAGGGGGGAAGTTCTCATTCCTTTTTGGCATCAGAGAACAAAATTTTAAAAATATTTTTTTAGATTTGTATTTACCTGTTAAAACAACATGGCTTATAGAAGTATATCATTGACCATGGACTAGGGTCTGGGGTTTGTTTACAAGGCGTTTTATGTGGTAACTCCAGACTTTTATAAAACGAAATTCAGACCAGAGTCTGCCTGTGACTGGACTGTTCAAAAGAAATTAAAAATACTTCTTGTTGCTTGAATGACTCCAATTCCACTCTAGTTTTGTAGACTAACTTCTCTTTCTCTTCCCAGCCACACTTCTTAATCGTAAGAACCACTGTAGGGCTACCATAATCCAGAAGGGCAATGATGTACCCTATCCAGTTCCTTACATCTGAATGAATAGTCAAAGGAATCCATTTCTTTTCCTACTGAGAGAAAGAACAGTGCCTCAAATTAGCATTCATGTCACGTGTTAATGTTTGATGATGAACCTAATTTTTTCCCAAGTGGACTAGCAAAATTTTATCTTATACCATTTAACACCATACCATTGAGTCTGCTTCGCTCACAAGCATGCAAAAAAGAAAAATGTAAATGATTTACCTAAGACCATGGTGGTTTACATGTAGAGTGAATGGTTTTGTTCCAAAGCACTTTAGCATTTGGCAAACAATAGTTCTGTTCAGTGACAGAGCATAGTCAGCGCCATGCTTTCTCAACTTTATGGTTACTGCTTTGTTTTCTACTCTATTATAATTGACATAAAGTAATTGCAAAACGTAAAGGAAATAAATTTGAACTGTAGGTATAAAATCTGTATTTTGCAGAATTATTTTTAGCCATTTAATATAAATGCTGGCTTTTTTTTGTTGGGGGGCGTGGGGCTGTGTTGGGTCTTCGTTGCTGTGCATGGGCTTTCTCTAGTTGCACCGAGCGGAGGCTACTCTTCCTTGCGGTGCGTGGGCTTCTCATTGTGGTGGCTTCTCTTCTTGCAGAGCATGGGCTCTAGGCATGCAGGCTTCAGTAGTTGCAGCACATGGGCTCAGTAGTTATGGCACGCGGGCTCTAGGGCACATGGGCTTCAGTAGTTGCGGCATGTGGGCCCAGGGCACGCAGGCTCCAGTAGTTGTAATGCCAGCTATTTTTTAAAATGGTTTTATGGTTTAAAATAGTTTAAAGGGGAACAGCTTTAAATAAGATAGTACCAGAACAGTCATGTTTAGCTGAAATAAGCCTAAAATGAGTCATAATTCAATTAAGATTGTTTACCACACATTTTATTTTTCTACTCAAAGTGTGGGACAATCAAGGTGTATCATTTGTCAGCTACATACTGCTAAAGGGAAAGAATGTAACTACATACTGTAGCTACATATTGTAGGAAAAGAATGCTACAGAAGAAGTATGTAACCATTTAATAATGACAATATAACTTCTTGAATTTAGCTTTTAGACAAGAGATAATTTGAATTAACTGAATTGATAATTAACTGCTGGGGAAGCAGCTTACTTAAGTGTGTCAGGTTATGTGGTTTCATTCAGTTGCTTCCAAAAGCCAGACACACCCAAATATACTGATGTAAAGAAACTTTTGTTTTATTCTAGATTTTAAAGAGCCATCAGTACAATTTTCTAATTCCTTACTGCCTAACATATGGCAAACACTATACAGTCACATGACTTCCACTGTCAATTATGATAATCAGGGCATTACCACTGTAGAGGGAGAAAAACATCCTGATTCCTGAGGTCTCTTCTCTTATTGGGATGAAAAACCTGTGGAAACCTCTGGCTCTTGTTCTTTGGTTAGGGTGATACCAAATGAATCACAGTATAGGTGGGTAAGGTTGTCCTGAAAAGTAGTGCTGTGTGAGAGATACTGGCTAAAGGGAGTTTCCTTGAGTTGCACAGCAGTCAGATCAAACCAGGGGAAAGGCCTGGGGTAAGGAAAAAAATAGTGTTACTTTTTTATGTCTGTTTAATACATCTGATTTTGCTGTTAAACATTTCCTTTAAAGAAAGTTCTCCTCCACTTGGAAATAAGGTTCTTCATTTTCTATATCAAACTAATTAAAATTCTTAGTTAAATTAAAAATTCATCTGGGTCTATTCAACACGTGGATTTAATTGTACTTATGAGTTTTCACACTTACAATTCTCTAAGTGCATTTAGGGAGGAATTCATAATTAGAGAATGATTATGACAATAAAATCAACATCCTTTTCAGTATATTTTCCTTGAATTTAGAAAGAAAATACATAAGAGGATCATGGACATTAGGAATGGAAGAGACCTCATTTCTTTTACAATATCCTCTTCAAAAAAAAAAAAGATACCCTCTTCAACTGTATAGGGAAAGAAGTAGGAGTTAACATGCAAATAAAAATGGGGCAGTGTTAAGTATTAGTCTGTAGTGGAATTCAACTTAACAAGCATTAAGACATAGGGTTTTATAGTATTAAAAAATCAGGAGTAAAGCAAGGATATCTGCTCTCACCACACTTATTCAACATACCACTAGAAGTTGTAGCCAGTGCAATAATGCAAGAAAAGGAAATAAAAGGCACACAGATTGGAAAGGGAGAACTGAAACTGTTGCTACATATAGATGACATGGTCCATGTAGATAATCCAAAGGAATCTAAAAAAAAAGAAAAAATCTCCTAGAACTAAAAAAACGAATTCAGCAAGGTCATAGGATATAAAATAAACATAAAATAAATTTTATTTATATATATTAGCAATGAACTCTTGGGCAAAAAAAACCTAAAAATGCAGTTCCTTTCACACACAAAAAATAGAATACTTAGATGTAAATCTAACAAAACATGTACAGGACTTGTATATTGAAAACTACGAAATGCTGATGAAATAAGGAAGATATAAATGGACAGATATACTGTGTACATGGATGGGAAAATTTTCATTATAAAGATGTCAACTCTCCACAAATTGATCTATAGATGTAATGGTAAAACAAAAATTAGTGACAACACCAAATGCTGGTGAGGATGCAGAGAAACTGAATCATACTTTGCTAATGATGTAAAAGGATATAACAACTTTGAAAAACAGTTTGGCAGTGTCTTAAAAAAATAAACATGCAACCAGTCATTGCACCCCTGAGCATTTGTGCCAGAGAAATTAAAACTTATGTTTACACAAAAACCTGTACATGAATGTTCAAAGCATCTTTATTCACAATAGCCAAACACTGGAAATATCCTAGATGTCCTTCAACAGGTGAATGATTAAACAAACTATGGTACATACATGCCATGAAAACATAACTGCCATGAAAACTACTCAGCAATAAAAAAGGAATAAATTATTGATACACACAGCAACTTGAATGAATCTCCAGAGAATTATGCTAAATGAAAAAGGCCAATCCCCAAAGGTTGCATAATATATGATTCCTTTTATATAATATTCTTGAAGTGACAAAATCATAGAAATGGAGAACAGCTCAATGGTTGCCAAGTTGGGGAGGAAGGATCAAGATGAAGGATGCCTAGTTATAGAATTGTTCTGTATCTTGACTGTATCAGTGTCAATATCCTGGTCGTGGTATTGTACTATAGTTTTACAATATCTGTGTATAGCTATTGTACTGTGGTTTGTTCCATTGGGGGAAACTGGATAAATGGGTACATGGGATTTCTTTGTATTATTTCTTAATAACTGCATGTGAATCAAAATTATCTAAAAAGTTTTTTTAAAAGGGGGGATACAATTAAAAAGTATAATCTACCAAGAAGATGTAAAAAGTACAAACTTCTGTTCATCAGATGATATGGCTTCAAACTTTATAAAACAAAGATTATAAATATAAAGAGAATTTGAGAAACTACAATCATAGTAGAAATATTAATATGCCATGCCTCCCATTCTAACAGGTCATCTGATGTAAAAGACCATATAGCAGCACTTTTCCAACTTTAATGGACATATCACTTGGGAGCTTGTAAAAAGGCAGATTCTGATTCCATACATCTGGGGTGGGGACCCATAATCTGCATTTCTAAACAAACTCCCAGATGATGGCATGGTTATCAGGCAGTTTGAGTGGCAAGGATATGCTGAAAAGGGGAGAAATAAAGTGAAAAAATATATTCTGAATGATAAGACCACCCCTCTCCCTACACACGTGCAGCTTTCTTTCCCCAAGTTGGGTCCCAAAGACTTGAAGATACCAATATTCAGGGTTTCCCAAGGAAAAAGCTGATCAAACCACTCTGTAGTAAAGACCACAGT